CAGGAAGGCAGCAGTTTTTCAGGGCTTGCAATTCCCTGGGGCAAATCCCCCAACCCCCCCCCGCCCCCCCCCCCAAACCAAAACTTTTCAACTACTGAGAGCTGGGATCTGGGCCTAAGAAACCGAAGGCCCTGACACTCCGGGTAAGGCTCTCAATATGCTTCAGTTCAACACTCGCTGCAGCCCCAAGAATCCTCTCCCAGCCCCAGATCAGCATTCCTGACTGCAAAGACAACGCCTCCCGCTTCAGCAAGGATCTGGAGAAGCCTCTTCTGCAGGCGCGACACTGCCTCTCATCACTCCTATGATTTACATTCCCATTCAGTGCTGAAAGCCGGAGCTGGTGCGACCGGATTAAAGCGCAGGACAATACCAGTCATCCCCTGAGCTCTCAGCCGCAGCACAAACTCCTCGTTCCGCTCTCTGGAAATATTCCCATGTCTAGGCAGGGAATGTATTAAAATATATGACTTGCCAATGGTTTCCCTTCGTCACCTTAATCCTCCCCTCTCTTTCTTCTGCAAACAGAGGTTTTAGATAACTACGTTCTATATAAAACATTTTATTGGATTCAATTCATTCTGCAAACGCCTTCTGTGTGGTAAACGGATGCAATTTAAAGCCCTGTTAAACACAATCGGCAAGATCCAGATGGAGCCAGCCATCTCCAGGCCTGCGTCTCCACTCTGGGTGGGTGACTAAGCTCAAACCAACCCTCTTGCCGAGACCTTCTAGCCAGTGACATCAGCTAGGGCCCCGACACACCGATACCACCAGAACAACCCCGATACACCATGCTGGTGCTGCCCAGCATAGGCGCCAAGGGGACCGAGCTCTCTCCAAGCCAGGAGTCCTTGTGGGGAGAGCCATCGGCTTGGGGCCCGCTGGATTTTCAGGAGGGATGATGTAGCCAGCTTTCCTTGAATCAACCCCGCTCAGCATGCCCCTGCCCAGAAATGAGGCGGCACAGGGAAAGGGCCTCCCAGAGCTTGGCCGGCAAGGGCTGATGCTTGTTCCCACCCAACTGTGCTTGGTGACGCCCTGGCAGGGAGTGGGAGGCCCAGTTCACAACCCACCCCCAGCACCCGAGAGCCTGGCTGGCGCTTTCTGCTCTTTGCCAGGGGTCCCTCCCAGCAGGACAGGGGTTGGGTGGTGCAGACAGAAGGCCTGTGCTGCCCAGGATGGGGCTGCCCTCCTCTGGGGCTGGGTCCAGCCCTGCTGCCAGTGCCCCTCCAAAGGCAGCTTTTACATTAGACAAGCACAACTGGGGCTAGCTAGGAAAGTTTCTGCCCTGCATGGAGGGCGACAGGGTGAGCTTGGAGGAAGGGCCCAGGCCCTGCATAACAGGAAGGCAATGCACTCAGCATGGAGGCTGCTGCAGGGAGAAGAGCCAGGACAACCTTGACGGGCTTGCACTTACGCTCTCCCAGGGTTTCCACCTCGATGCTAGGGCTGTAGTTCCCATAGTCCTGAGCAGCGGACACCCGGATCTGGAAGACGTAGATGGTGCCCGGCTTCAGGTTCTGGATGGTCACGGCAGTTGCCGCAGTTTTCATGGTTGAGTAGCTCTGATCCCTTTGATCCTGCAACGTGACGACACAGCAGAGCCTGAGTGGCACAACTGCCACTGCGCGGAGCAGACCAGCACAGCTGCTGCCTGGCCTGGCCGCGGTGCCTCCGTGCCTGCCCATGTCAGGAGTTTCCTCAAGGCTCCACGAACCACAAACACCTGGAACAGGAGTGGGGTAAAGATGATGCAGGTGGGGCTGGGGATGCATGGGGCATAGAGGAGGGGCTGGGGAAAGGCGAGGGCCTGAGGTCTTTCCCCATTTGAGCCAGCTGATGGCTGTGCGGGCTTGAGAGCAGCACCATCCGGCCCACAGCAACCCACCCTCTGGTCCAGGACATGGCCCCAGTTGGAACCGTGAGCAGGTCCAGGCAGCCGAAGGACACGGCATGCACACACACATGCACGTACGCGTGCACTCACCAACCTGCTCGGCCAGGAACAGCTGCGCTTATAACCTGCAGTGGGTCCCTGTACCCCCCCACAGTGCCGTCTGTCCATGGCAGGGCAGCCAGGAGCTGGCACTGGGGGTCTGTAAGCCCACTTGCTCCCAGGCACTGCATGGAGCCAATGGCCAGCTTGACAGCCCTCAGCACCCCATCTCCTTCACAGCACCTGTGGGCCAGCACTGGGAGCTAACACTAAACCTGTATCCCCTCCATCCAATGCTTGCTCTGACATGCACAACGCAGGCCCTAGAGGGGACCCAATATGTTCCTATAGCATCAGCGGGAGCCAGCTGGCCATGAGGACAGCTGCCCCGGGGCCTGGCACTGCCCTAGCTCTGCAGTTCCCAGCAGGCCACCTGTGCAGCCTGGAGGAAGGCTCGCTCCCAGCGTGTTGGGGTAACAGGAAAACTGTCTCCGTGGTGAACTCCTCTGGGGTGGCTCTGAGAAAGCAGCATGCTGCTGGGTGTTTGCAAACAGCCAGATGTGAGTGCTCCAGGAACCCATAACAGTGTGATGGTGGGGGGAAGTCTATTTAGCCCCTGGCATTCCCCGCGTGAAGGGAGTAGCTCCTCTCAGGAGGCCCATGACTGCCACTGGTGCAGAGGCCAAGGGCTGGGAACACTTATGGTCTGTCCCTGTGTCCATCCCTGCACAACGAGAGGTGCTGGGATGGACAGGACTGTCTAGCGGAGGCTAGAGCATGTTGGGGCAGTAGGGAGGAGCTCTGTCTCCATGCAGCAGGAGGGGTGCTCTGGCCATGCTCTGTGCACTGCTGCAGCGCCTCCAGAGAGTACCCACAGCACCACAGATATCACTCAGACCCCCCTCCAGAGATGTGCAGCTGCTGTGTGCTGGCAGCGCAGGGACCTGTGCCCCGCACCTGGCTGCTTCTGGGTGAGGGTGTCTGCCACCTTCCTACCAACTGGCTGCACCAAGGCCCTGCCTTGGCTGCTTTCCGTTGGGCATCTTGCAAGATCAGCGACAGCACAAGTAGCAAGACAGTGGTGAAAAGGGTTTCACTGCCTGTTTTCCACCCCACAGCAGGCTAGCAGGGTGCGTGTGTGTGTGCATGCATGTGCACGGGATGTGGGGTATGTCCCTCTGGGGTCAGATCTGAGATCACTCCATTTATAACCAAGCAACTGCTGCACTGCAGAGTCAATCTTGCCATTCAAGCTGGAGGCGGCGTGGCTGGTAGCTGATGTCACGCAGCATCTCCTGGTGGCAGCCTTTTGCTAAGAAAGGATGGCATCGTGTTTCAGCACCCGCCCTCACAACACATCCCTCTCCTGCACGCCAGCAGGTAGTCTGGATCCAGAGACTATGCATCTGCTGCAGGCTGGCTGGTTTCCAGCATGTCACTGGCATGTGGCACAGCGTGTTTGATGTGTGATGAGTTTCATAACAGGCCCAAGCACAGACAGATGGGTTCATTTGCAGAACCGTGTGATAAGCCGCATTGATTTTGACTTTCACAGAGTTGCAGAACAGCTGGGTTGGCAGTTCCCTCAGGCAGTTGCATCTAAACCAACCTCCTGCTTGAGGGAGGATCATCCCTGACTAACCAGCCCGGCCAAGTGTCTGTCATCCCTGCTCTTAACCACTTCCAAGGAGGGGGATTCCTCAGCCTCTCTGGGCAGCCAGTTCCAGTGCTGAACCACCGTCTTAATGAGAATGACATGGGAGATAGTGCCAAAAGCCTTGCTAAAGACAAGGTACTCTACCTCCACTGCTCTCCCCATCCAGCCCATCACTTTGCCCTAGAAGGAAATCATGCTGGAACAGGGCTTGCTCTTGCCAAATCCACACTGGTGGTTCCTGATCACCCTATTCTGATTCAGGTGCTTAGAAGTAGAGTCCTTGATGAACTGCTCCAGGACCTTTGCAGGCAGAGAGGCCAAGCTGACTGGTCTGCAATCCCCCAGATCCTCCTCCTTCCCTTTCCTAAAGAGGAGCACCATATTTGCCCTTTTCCAGCCATCCGGGACCTCACCTGACCTCCAAGAGTTCTCAGTGATGACAGCCAAGCTCAGCTTGGATAACCGTACAAGGAAAACTATTAGTGAGAGAGCCGGGGAAGACACGCAAACCCCACAGCATCTATCAAACAGCTGCCGTTTTGTACTTTAAAACACTGCCAGGGAAAATGCTTGTTGCTTTCCCTGCCACCACAAATCACTGACCTAATACCCCGAGGCACTGGCGATCAGCCCTGCACTAACAAGAGGCCTAAGGTCTAATATCTGGGGAGGTATCAGTGCTAAAAGCCGAGGTCTGAGCCTGTGAGAGACTGGGAACACCCCTCATCTAACAGCAGAGGAAATTCACGTGCAGCTTGGCCAGTTGCAGGGTCCCACACCTCAGCCTTCACAGAAAGCTGCAAGATGCATTTTAAAAACCACTCCACATTATTAAATTCACTCTCTCCCTGGGAGGTATATACATTAGGATTCACGTGTACTGGCACAACCTGGCTGCACAGAGGGAGAGAGAAAAATACTAATTAAATAAACACTAAAAATAACCTAAGTCACTGCGAAATGCACACAAACAGATTGCAGGGAGGGGAAGGGGGGTGATTCAGGGAATCAAGATTTTATTGGCACTTGTAAGTAACAGAAGCATCCCGAACGCACGCCAATAAAATCTTTGTGGCGCCATGCACTGCACACATGCGCACACGCACAGGCACACAAAGGTGTCTACACTCCCGCGGATCTCCAACGCACACAGCTCGCGGCAAAGGCAGGGAGGGTGTGCAGGCAGCATGAGCAACGACAGGCACCCGGGGTGGGGAGTAGGGGAAGAATGTCTCTTTTGGAGTCTTTAGGAGATGGCTGGAAATACAGGGAACAAGTCTCCAAAAGACTCTACCTTTTCATAGTACTTGATTTCATACTCAGTGTTATTGGTGCTCGGGAAGCCCGGCTCCTGCCAGGACAGGGAAATGCTCTTCTGGTCAATGCTATCAGTGCGGATGTCAGTGACAAGAGATGGCGCTGAAAAAGCAGAGAGAAGAGACAAGCAGGTCACCAACAGCATCGCCCCAGAGCTGGGCTCCCCCGACCCCAGCAAAGCAGTGCCCGCCGTGGCATCTGGCCATGCAGCTGCTCCGTGCACAGACGTCCTGTGGTGCCATCCTGGCAGGTCAGGCCCTGGGTGGACAACACCCACAGCCTGTGCCTGGGCTCAGACAGCAATTGCCCCTGGTTAACTGAGCACAAGGCATAGGCAGCAGGCCCAGCGAAAAGCAGCGGTCGGCACCTGGATGACTGCACTCAGCAAAGGGTCTCCTAGCCCGGCCTCTCTCAAGGGACGAAGCGGAGGAGGGCTGAGAGAGGACCCAGCAGCAAGGTGGTGCACAGGGTCCTGTTCCCACCGGGAGCCTGCATCCTCCCCTGGTGCTAGCCAGCAGGAGGTAGAGGCCCCAGGGTGCCAGCCAGTCACTAGAACCCAGGCCACTGCCCTGTCCTCTTGCAAATCCAGGCCCCTCTGGTAAGAGTCACCCTCCCTACAAGCCACAGCCCAGGCCATGCGGTGCCACAAGGAGAGAAGCCCAGAGACAGGAGGGGGCTTCCCCTGTGCTTGTCAGGGCTCTGCAACTCTGCTGTCCCTCAGGACTGGGCTCTGACGGCTACGGCACCAGCACCAGCACTAGCAGGGCAGGCTGGAGGGACACTGGCAGCTCCACCCCACAGCAGCGAGAGCGTGGACTCTCAGTGGAGAAGTGACCTCTCTCAGAGCAGCAGTTCACAGCCCTGCCCCTGGCATCTCTGCTCCAGCCACAACCCTTTGCAATACAGCACAAGGCAGTGGCACAAAATCAGAGGCACCTGGTTTTAGAACTAAGACCACAGACACGAGAGGGCTCTGCAGGCCTGGAGAGCCAACTCCAAACCCCTCTGGGGCTGTGCTCAATTGGTGGTGGCTTAAGACAAAGGGATCTGTAGGCTCCATGGTCTGGACAATGCAGCAACCTCCTTCCTTTAAAAAGGCCATTGGTAAATGCAGGCCTGAGGCCTCCTGGCACTGCCCCCCTGCAGTGGCACTGCGTTGTGGGGCTCTGCAGGCAGCCAAACTAGCTCTGAAGCAGAGAAAGTCTCCTCCCAGCTCTGCCCTCACATCCCCACTGTGCCCACTTCTGCCACAGACTGTCCATGGGAAGGCAGGGGTAACATCCCTTGAGTCACTCGGGTTAGGTGAGTGCTGCACTTTGCAGGCAGAGACGTCAGGGGGTAGTCGGTCTTTGCTGTCTATCTGCAGGAGTGGGGGTGAATGGCACATTGCTTCAGGGCATCTCCTGCTTGTCCCAACGCATGGCCCCAGGTCTGCCCTCCATCACGGGAGTGTGGCATTGGAAAGGCTTGGGTACAATGGTGGAGGGTGCCAGAGAAATGCCTGACTAAGGACAAGCATGAAAGCTGTAGGGCACTTCCCCTGGCCAGAGCTGGAATTAGAAGTCTGTTTTCACAGAAAAGGGAACGCATTTGTAAAGCTGCAAAGGGACATCACCTACAGCGGCAGCACCAAAACGTCACCCAGTGCAAGCTCCCGCCCTGACAACCGGTGCCAGAGGAGCCTCCAAGGCAAAGGCAGTGGGTCAGGGTGAGGCACAGCCCCCACACACCATCCTTACTAGCCACATCACATTTGCTCTCCAAAACTGAGTTCCAGAGCTGCAAACCAGGGCACCAGGGGCAGAACACCCTGCGCTCTGCTGTCACATGTGGCTCTGGATCAAAGCAACCCTCCTCTGTGACCCACAGTCCGGATCAGGGTGACAGCTCTTCCTCTCTTGAAGCCATGGTGGGAAGTCACGGGGGAAACAAACCAGCTCCTGGAGCCCACGGGTCACCCTCAGCTCATGGGAAACCCGGGCCTGGAGAGACGGAGGGGGCTAAGAACCCAGGAGCATCCCAGGCTCAGCGAAGCAGTTCATCATCTTGCCATTCACGACACAGGGTGACGGGCAGGATTTCCAGGGGCTCCACAGGAAAGCTCCCAGTGTTGGGGAAATGCACTCAGCATGCCTCGGCGCACTATCAACGGCTGCCTTGGATCACTGCTGATTTCAGTGCGGTCTGTGGCAAGCTACCCAACCAGGGCAGCGTTTCCAGCAACAGCTCACTGGTCTCTGCTCACAGCCTCCGCGCGGCCTCCGAGGGCTGCTTTGGGAATGCACAGCACATGATGGAGACCGGAGTTCAGCTGTTTATTACCCCATTAGCCTCCTGCGGTGCTGTTAATTGGCACTAACCGGGCCCCTGGGCCGACAATTGGAATCCGCCTGACGTATGGCAAAGAGAAGGAAAGACCCAGGCTTCTGCCAGCTGCTTCATGCCCTGTGCAGAGGTCAGGCCCTTGTAGCTTCTGCAGTGATAAAAAGCAATCAAACCTGCGGGCGAGCTGAGCCGAGCTGCGGACAGCCTAGCACAGCATGCGATGAATGTCTAGTCCGAGACATGCAGACAAGGGCCAATAAAGCGGCTGATGAAGTGCTCTCCACCCAGCCACTATCCAAGAGAGCAGCGTGCCCTGCACCTTGGGAAGAAGCAGCCACTGTCCGGGGGGGCACCAGAAACAGTGATAGCTGCCATGCTAAGTCCAACAGGAGGGGCAGCAAGCCCTCAAGCCCCGGGGAAAGCTCAGAGATGAGTGCTTAGGAAGACAGGCTTGGCATCGGATCCATGCTGTTCCAGCAAGGCCTCTGCAGCAGAGGCGTTGACTGTGATGCTGGAAACTGAGGCAGCACATTTGCTGGGGTAAAGGATCTTCCCACTTCCTAGCTGAAGTCACGATACTTCTTTGCCAGCTTTACCAATACACAGCTGCACAAACACACGTGCTTCCAGGTACGGGTACAGGGGCAGCCGGGAGAAAGCCAGCCAGGAAGGCTTCGGTGGAAGAAGTGTGACACTGCATTGTCTCAGCTGCTGTACGTTGCTGGGTCAGCTCTTAGGCCCCGGGCCAAGCCCTCAGCACCCAGCACGAGGCACCTTTTATCTTTGTGTCCCTGCAGACAGACAGATCACCGAATGCTGCCTTCTGCATCCCTCAGTGTTGCCGCCCGCGAAGGAGGCTGGCTTGCTCCTGGGCTTCTTCCCCTGTTCTAAACAAGCTGGAAAAAGTCAGATTGCCTTTGTTTAACAGTCAGAGCTGCCCACACAAACCCCACCTCTGCTCTGCCTTTAATTACTGGTATTGCTAATCAGGCCTGCTCTTCCCGCAGGGAAAGGTCCCTAACTCGAGGGCCGCAGCCCCCGCGAAGCATGCCACATGCACAAGGGGGTGGGCAGGGAGCGCCAAGCCGACACCCGAAATCCAAAAAGTGTGGGTATCACATGGGCTATAAAGCAGCCCCTGCTGCAACTACAATGTTTTCCCATCAATATTTTAAACTCCCCAAATGCTGCTGCTCTTTGGAAAAAGCAAACATTAAATTTTTCACCATCCTGCCTGATTTCATAAACTCCAACTCATCGTGCATCGCTTTGCTCCTCTTAATTAACAAATACACCAGCAGCAATGGCATAAAAATAGGTGTTCTCACTTCATTCGCCTGCCAAGGAAAACCAGGGTACCTGAAACGCGGAGGCAAGCCAGAGATGGGGAGAGAGATGTCCTCGATAAACCGGAGGGCTCCAGGCAGCCTCTCTGCTGAGGGAAGGCTGGGGAGGGGGAAGCTGCTGCACTAGCTGCCTCCAGCGCCTACTCCAGGGAGTTTGGGGGAGGCAGCTCAGCAAACGTGACATGCTGCGTCACTGGAGTGGCTATTCTGGGGCTCAGTCTCCCATCTGAGCACAGGACGACTGCTGGGGCTGGGACAGGGGCCTCAGGAGTACGAAGCTGCTGGAGGAGTGGCTGGGGGAAAAGGAGGTGGCAGGGTCGTGGCACACCAGGGACTGGAAGGCCTCAGCTAGCCCATCTGCCCCCCTGAGACAGCACCAAGATCTGGGATGCCCAACCCACCCTGCTCTCTGGTGATGGAGCCAGACCGACCTTCTGCACTGGGAGGGCACCCACGAGGCCAGGGGCTTCTCTATCCAGGCCCTGAGGCTCAACCCCATCCTGAGAGCTCAGCTGCTTCCTTCAGAAGTCCTGCCATGTTAAGTCAGCCTCCTTCCTTATGGTCTTGGGGCATTGGGCATGTGTCCCCGGAGCCAGGGAAGTCTCAGGCTTCCTACCGGTCATGAGGAAAAGGCAAAGCTGAACAAAACCCCCAAGAAGGTGCTCACCCAGGTTCGCAATGCAGCCTAAAGCAGAGGCACCTGGACGCTGCCCAGGTAGCACTGAGGAAGGCAGCATTGGGTGAGCCATGCAGGGTCTCAGCTGAACTCCAGGTCATGCTGTCCTGCCCACGAGCATGCGGCCAGTCGCCCAGCCCTCTCCAGGCCAGCACACAGTGCTGCCTCACAATCACAGGATCCCACACGTGGAGGGAAGGACGCTGCTTTACTTGGGCCCTACCAGTGACTGCCTTCATAAGGAGCTGCCAGGCAGGGGCTGGACCACCCAACTGCCTGCTGCCCAGGCATTCATCCCCTCGACACTGGAAAGAGACCAGAGCTGAAGGGATTCAGTTTCCCTCCACGATGGTCTAGATGAGGCACTTCTTCTGAAATTCAGCTCCTGCTGGGAATTAACAGCCAGAAGCAGTTAACAGACACTGGGGCCTCAACTCCTCTCTGCTGGTAAGAAAGGCCTAGGAAGGGACCTGCTCCACATCCTCCATGTTACACAGCACAACGCCCAAGTCCCTGGCGCCACGTCCTGGCACAGAACTCAGCGCCCTGCATTGTAAGAAGCACGAGAGGCCAAGCCGCCACAGCTAATCCCCCAGCTGGGTACAGCTGTGAGTTTAGCATGGCTTTATCCGTTCTGCTAGGAAAGAACTTCAGCCAGTCCTGGCTGGAAATTCTCCCCGGCTGGTGTCAGCCTCAGAAAGCCCTGGCACCTAACAAGGGGTTTTCAGAATTAAAAAGTCTATGAAAAGCAATTG